TTATTTTATAATTACACAACTGAGCTATGGCAGTACAAAAAAGAATAGTAAAGCTGACATTGTAATAGACATAAAATATACATAAAATACCTAACACCCAGCCATACAAAAGATGTATAATACATTCATAATAAAGATAATTTAAGAGTATTCTTTTTTTATATTAAAAGCCTAATTCTGTCAAAATACAACTGCTGACTTGTTTTGTTGAAAATTCCTTTCAGAAGCCTAAGGAAGCAGGAGGAGATATACTGAACAGTTACATGACCAACGAAGTGTGAAAGCTGACACACTTATGACAGAAACAGGAGAAAGTGATATCATCATAAGGAATCTCTCCCATCCAAGTACTAACCAGGCCCAACCCTGCTTAAGTGTCCTAGATCAGACAAGATCAGGCACGTTCTAGGTGGTACGGCCATAAACTATAGGGATTTTTAACCGTAAGAAAGAAAACACCTAGGTACAGTTAACACTGGGTACATGTATCATAGTTTTTAAAAAAGCACAGTTCAAAAAGTGAAAAAAGAAAAAGGTATAATTCCGTATGACTAAGTCAAATGGCTCACTAGAGATGGATCCTTCTAAGTTCCATCTATATACCCACAAACAATTCCAATCATGAACAAGAGTGAAACATCCAGTGTGGCTACAGAGTGACTCTGCAGACTAGTTAATGCGGCTAAAAAAGGATGAACGTGACAGAAGAACAAAAACATAAAGATATAGTATAAATAATGAGAAAGCTCGGAAAAAACTGAGACTTGGAAAAACACCGCTTAAAGATAAAAGCTTTTATGGCTACATTCAAATAAATATTATTTACATCTTATATTGTACAACATGTGATAGTTTATAAATGTTTTACATACTTTATCTCATGATACTTCTTGGAAAGTTGACAAGGCAAATATCATTTTTACAGATGAGAAAACTGAAGCACAAGATAATAATACAACTTGCTCAGTATCACATGGCTATTAAGAGGTGGAGTGGGAATTAGAACCCACGTTTCATGCTTTCTTACCCAGTGCTCTCTCCACAATAACATAATATTTCTCGAACAGAACAAGGAACTGAGAGAATCACTGCTCAGAGGATGTTGCTAAGGTTGAGAGATCACATAGATTGCTCAACCTGTATTTTGCTTATCTTCTCCAACAGCTTTTAAACTAAAGCTGCAGAAAAACATTGAGAACTGAAACCTGAGCCTGATGAGTAAGAGACTAAAACAACTTTAGGCAAGTTTGAGTCTCTTGGGCCCAGATGAAATCCATTCCATACTACTAAAGCAATCAGCAAGTGTAATGACAAAGCTGATTCCCATAATCTTGAAGAAAGAGCTCAGAAAGACAGAATACGGGTAGAGTTGCTTCAAGTCCTAGGGGCTGGAGAAGCAGGGAAGCAAATTTCAGAAATTACAGAAAACTTAATTATGAAGCAAATAGTTTGTGAGTAACTAGAGAAGAACATGATGATCACTAGACAGATGTCAGCATGAATTTAAACAAGACAAGTAATGCCAAATCAACCACGTTTACATCTTGGAAAATAATGACTATTAGACTTCTTAGATCAGTGGTCCCCAACCTTTCTGGCACCAGGGACCAGTTTCATGGAAAACAATTTTTTCGTGCATCGGGGGCTGGGGGTGGTGGTGATGCAAGCGGACCTCAGGTGGTGATGTGAGCAATGGGGTGTGGCTGTAAATGCAGATGAAGCCTCACTGGCCTGCTGCTCACCTCTTGCTGAGTAACAGGCCAAGCAAGGATAGGTCTGTGGCCCCAGGGATTGGGGACCATAGTCTTAGATGGAGGAAATAATAATAGTTTACATTTATTGAGCCCTTACTATCTGCCAGACACTATTCTAAGCACTTTATATGTATTACCTCACTTAATCTTCACAACAACCCATTTTATAGTTTAGAAAACAGAGGTTTACAGATTAAAGTACTTGCCCAAGATCACACAATTAGCAAAGCCAGAAAAAGATAGTGTATTCTGACAAAAATAGTATTCAAGATAGTTTTCCATACTATCTTTGTAAATATGTTGCTTGAGTGTGAGTTGGATGTTAGTGTAGTTGGGTAAGTTTGCTGCTCTATGTCAATTTAGATGAGGAAAGTCTTTAGGGGAGTGGAGCTCTGTCCTAAGCCCGATTTTTCATTATTTATGAGGTAATAAAGACACAGAAGACATGTTTATAAAATTCTGAGGTTGAACAAACCTGGGAGAAATAAACTAAAATTAAAGTGAAAATTAAGGAGAAGTGTAAAGCTTTGCATTTAGTTTCAAAAAGTTAAATATGCATTGCAGAAATGGGGAAATGCTAACTCGGAAGCTGTTTATATGAGAGGGGGTTATCAACCCAAGAGTTTAATACCAACTGCTAATATAATGGGTGACTAAAAGAGCTAATGCAAACCTAATGCTCCAGGACACTGAGGACATAACGGCATCGATCTGTACACTCCTTGCTAGTCAGTCTACATCACTACTGTTTATTTCTATGGTCCACATTTTCACAGCTATTAATATATCGTTTTTTTTTAATCATGCTTCTAGATAAAGGGAAAAAATGTCACGTGACAAAAATATGCTTAACAAATCCACATGGACAGAATAAGTGGTTTTAAATATCTGAAGAGGTGTTAATACAAGAATTGGTTTTATTCAGTTTATTCAGTTTTATTCACTGCCGAAGGAAGATATAAAATGAAGAGGACAGCCCTACTTATTGACAGGTTGTAAGGACTGAGCTACTGCATATAAAGTACCTATATCAGTACCTGGCTCACAGTAACTGCTCAGTAAATTTTAGTCATTTTCACTGTAATTAGTTGAAGGAATTAGCAATTAAGTCCCTATTTTATGCTAAACACTGCAAGGGAGACATGATACTTTATTAAATCCTTGGAACAATACTAGGAGATCTGTTCAACTCTGTTTTACAGAAAAGGAACCAAAGTTTCAAAGAAGTTGTTAAATATAGCTAATAAGTGATGGAAATAAGTTCCAAACTACAGTTTCCCAAACTCCAAAGCCCATGTTCTTTCTATTTCATTCCACATCCAAGAATCTAACAACAGGTTGGCTCGTGAGGTAATTAGCTCTATAACATATCTGACTGAGTAGATATTTATCACAATAAAGTAGTAAAATATCTATGAATAACACTGTATATAAGTTAACTACTTCAAAATATAAGACACCACTGTGGTATACAATAATTTATTTTGATGGATGTCTTCACAGTAAATTCCCACTTCATTATACCTAGTAATATTAGCCAAATAACAGCAACTGTCTAATACAATTGACTAATTTACCAGAACTAATGTTAACTATTTACAATGTATAATTTCGTATAAAAATTATTTTCAGCATGAACATAAATAGAAGAAACTAAGGAGCTATCATATTAGCTTCTGTCCACTCATCCTGTTTTCCCTCTCCTTGTTTTGTCTGCAGACCCCTGATTTGCTCTGTAAGATGCAACACGATGTAGGGTACAAAATATTAAGACTAAATATTAAAAGAAATTTGATAACTCTAACTTACAAGAACCTTGGTATGTTGCTTAATTTTGTCTTTATGCTTCAATTAGAAAACTGAAATAGTACATTTTATTAATTTATAAATTATATATCGATTGTATATGTTTCTAACAGCTATGAGAGGCTTAATCATGTCTAATTGGTGAGCAATTCTAATGTTGATATGGAACATCTCAAATATTCTTTTGCAGAGTTATTTGTCATGTATTCCATTCAAACGAGTTTACATAATCTGTCATCAATGTTGAATGGAATCAAAAGATAGGATATTTAAGGCATCTTGAGCCTAGTCTGCCCTATTGTTACAGACAAGGCGAAACAAAAGCCCTGGACATTACAGGACTTACTTGAGGGTTACTTCATGTAAAATCACAAGTTGATCTATCTTCCTCTCCCCCTCTTCTTCCCTTCCCCCATGCGCACATTATCTCATATTTTAACGGTCTCTAATCAGGAGAAACTCTAACAGCAGCATTTTCATTTAGTAAATATTTATTGAGTACTTATTATTTACTAGACTGCTATG